CACACACACACACACACACACACACACACACACACACACACACACATGAGATATGGTCAGGTTACATACAAATGCTGTACCATCATATAAAGGATTTGAGCACTGGCAGGTTTTGGTACACTCAGATGGACCCTGGAGCCAATTCTCTATAAATAATGAGGAAATACTACACCATTAAATACAGTTAAACCTATTTACCTTCCTCGGCTCCCAACGCTGGAGGCACTAGGTGAACGTATTGGGGGATGGACACTAGTCATCGTAACAGGTCCTAAAAAGAAGAAAATACACATATAGGTGAATTAATAATTATGCATTCGTGTTTGAATGTGCTCACTTAAATTATACCCAAACCAGGCATATCCAATAAAATTCTGTTATACACACTCTTTAATATTTTGTTACACCAACAGTTTACAGTCACGGCACTACTGCCTTCTGGGCCCAGATGATGTCTGTGCATTGGAAGACTCTCCACACTCGCAACCTGAAGTACCAGTAAGAACACATTTTCAAGTCTTTCTTGCAGCTGAGTGAGTAGAGGATTTCAGAGACAGTGAGAACTACACAAGAGAATGGGGCTGATATAAAATGAGTTCAAGGAGACATCAGGGTGGCACGGAAGGTAGGCACTAGTCAGCTGGCCTGACAGACAAGCTGAGCTCAATCGCTGAAACCACGTGAGAACCATTAATGGGAAAAGAGAAAGCTAGATTCCAATGTGAGGCAGAAACAAGAGGTTCTGAACTGCTGCCACAAAGAAGAATCCATGTTGGGGCTGTGGAAATGGCTCAGGAGGTAAAGCTGCTTGGTGCCACGCCTGATGACCCAAGCTAGCGGCTTGGGATGCAGCCATGGTGGGAGGAAACTGGAGTCCCACAGGCTGTCTTCTGACCTCCATGTGCATGCTGAGGCACTTACATGCACGTGTACACACACACGTGTAGTGACATTAGTAAGTGAGCTCCACCATCTGCAGTGTAAGTTACATGGTGACCTTCCTAGCAGACAAATGTCAGCTTTAAGACCATTGCTGGGTGCCTTCAGAGATGCTTTGCCAAGTTACACTAGCATCAGTTCACACCAAAGTGCCTGCTGGCATTTTCGTCAGCAGAGTTGTCACTATTCAAACCCTGGCTATTCTAAGTAGTAAGAAACCAAATCCTGTTTAGGACAAATAAACACTAGAACCCAAATCTTATGACAGCTGGAGAGAGAAAACATTTTTGTTTAGTCTACTTTGCTGGATGCCTTTACTGCGCAGGGAATACCTATTCGTGTCTCTTTCAGCAACATCAAGAGCATTCCTACTTTATCCATGTGCACTTGTCTTTTCTTTTATGTAAATTCATGTTTAAAGTAGGAATCTCCACTTAAATTTTGTAACCACCTTACTTTTTGGTAACATTGCTGGAAAACTTACTTAAAGTTCACTCCTTTGCATTATTCCATGCAATGCTGTTGTACGACTAACCTCCTCAGAACTGACAGTCTCTCCTCCAGGAAAAAGGGAGGCTCCTAAGACTCAGGAAACTGAGGAAATGCATGAGGCTAGTGAAACGTTCCAAAACTTAGGAGTCATGATTCAGAAAGTGAGAATATTTATGTAAGCAAGTGTTGGGGCAGAGGAGCTCTTTGGTAGATGGGCCCCCACAAACTGTGCAGATGTCTCCAGGGGCCCAGCCTGGCTGTGTTAGGGTATGGTGGACTCACTGGCTCACCAGGCTAGAACTTCAGTGCAACTCTTTCTTTAGCTTGTCACCAGCATATTATATGGATGCATCTGTTCATGTCTCCCTAAGAAGGCACAGAAGAGTTACCTGCTCTATCAAGTGTTCAGGAGTAGTATCTAGAGCAGCACACACATGCCACACTTGGGGAGGCCAAGGTACACACTGAAGTTACAGGCAGCTGTAAGGCACTATGTGGGTGCTGGGGACAGAACCATGGTCCTCTGCAGGAGCAGGAAGTGCTCTTAACTACAGTCATCTCTCCACCTCCCTACATTAGGCATTATTAAACACAATTTATAACCAACAAATAAATAAACCACCGAAGACTGCACTCCTCTTGTGTATTTTAACTAAATGATTCTAGACAAATTACATTCTGAAAGAGACCATATCACAAGCAATTTAATTAATTAATGAGAGTGTGAGAAAACTGCTTGTTGGTTGCTATATTGCCAATCAATTTTGCTGAAACTGAAAAAGTATAAAAGTTTAACCTCTGTTTCCCTCTTTGTGACAAGTTCTAGCTTTACCTGGTATAAGAACTCAGTTTGGTAAGGTGGGTTCAGTGGGTTTAAAGCATTTGTCACCGAGCCTGACAACATGAGGTTGAAGCCTGGAGGCCACTTGGTGGAAGGAGAAAATCAACTCCAAGTTGTCCTCCGACTTCCACATGTGAACTATGTCACACGTAAAATAATATACAATATTATTATTGTACAACAATATACAAGAAAAGAAACCTCAAGATATCATTTAAAAATTGAGGCAGACCCTTGCCCCCAAAATAAGGCAGAAAGGAACTTTTAATCATGTTTCTTAAAAAATGATTTATTTTACTTTTATGTGCATTGGTGTTTTGGCTGCAAGTATGTCCATGTGAGGGTGCCAAATCCCCTGTATCTAGAGTTACAGACAGTTGTGAGCTGCCACATGGGTTCTGGGAATTGAACCCAGGTCCTCTGGAAGAGCAGCCAGTTCTCCTAACTTCTGAGCCATTTCTCTAGCCCTGGAACTTTTAATCATTATGAGTAAAAATATGAATTAAAAACTAGAAAACATTTAAAAATCCAAAAGGTGGCTTTACCTGAAAGGCCTGGAGATGGCACTGATGAATTTGGTGACTGTACTGTTCTGTTTGATGGAGGTCTTGGCTGGCCATGATCTACATTTGTATCTTTCCTTGCAATATTATCCAACATGATAGTACTTGAACAATCAATCTTCCAAGAGAAGAAATTATTTCAGGGCAAATTAACTTTGCAAACTAAAAACCACTTTATATTTACAAGAAAACATCAATCCTAAATACTATCAATGTGCTCTCTTCTCTCTTTCTCTCTCTCTCAGGCACACACACACACGCACACACACACGATAAATTTAAGAAGTTTTATGCTTCAAATGCAAATACTTCGTCATGCCTAAAAACACCAAGTTTTCTAAGAACATATATAATTCCTTCATGCATTTCTACCCTCTCTCAATTGGGATTCTATAAGACCTGTGTTCTACAGCTATGGTATAGACTGTACATAATGACATAACACAGAAGAAAAAAAAGAGGCAGAAAGAAAAACTCCATTATAGTGGTGGAATGAAAGTAGACAAGGTCATCTGTATTTTAATATTCTTAGGTACTACGTTAGCCAATAATTTTAAGATGGTGCATAAAGGATTGGGTTTCTTAATGTAATAAAAATAATTTATTTTATAGAATAATCCAGAGAATAAGAGAAATTAAAATTTAGACTAAGTTTTCCTTTGTCTGATGTATGTATGAAAAAAGTACACTCTACCTATTTAGAATAGTATTATATAGTGGCTCTAGTGAGATAAATAATACAATTATTGGGAAATATAATTGATCTTATCTTGAAAAAAATCAAAGAAAAATTAAAAGTTCTTTCATAATCTTATATATAATTCTTTCTAACTGAAGTGTGTAAAATACTTCACAAACATAAATGTGTCATGCTTGGCTGTATGTACATCATGACATTGAAACTACCTAACCTTGCAGGGTAAGAAATGGGAAAACAGGGCTGAAGAGATGGCTCAGCAGTTAAAACAAAACAAAAAAACATTGTTTGCTTTCCCAAAGGACTAGGGTTTCATTTCCAGCACCTCATGGTCTGTAATTCCAGACTCAAGGGATCTGATGTCCTAATGGCCTTCAAAGGCATCAAGGATTCATGTGGTGCACAGACATACACACAAGCAAAATTCCCATACACATATGAACAAAAAACAAAACACAAAAGGAAAATAAATGTGTGGGGAACCAGCAACATAACACTGCTATTTTCTGCCTTTAGGAAGTCACTTGTCTGAGTTCCCTAGTAATGGGAACAGGATTGTCTCTGACATGAACTCAGTGGCTGGCTCTTTGACCACCTCCCCTTGAGGGGGGAGCAGCCTTGCCAGGCCACAGAGGAGAACATTGCAGCCAGTCCTGATGATGAGACCTGTTAAGCTAGGGTCAGATGGAAACAGAGGAGGACCTCCCCTATCAGGACTTGGAGTGGGGCTTAGAAGGAGATGAGGGAGGGGGCTACAGCTGGGATATAAATCGATAACTGTAATTAATATAAAAAATAAATTAAAAAGTCACTTGTCAAAGGCTGAGTACATTGCTTAATTTAAATAGGCAACAGACCAGAGAAAACTCTCTGCTGGTGCTATGCTCAAGTACACAAATCTGGTGTTTTACCAAGGAAATCACTGTCTCCTCCACCTCATCCCGGGTCTTGCATTTCAGAACTCACCTCCACACTTACTCTTCACAGTCTAGTCTGGAACAATCCAATCTACTTTTTCATCCTACTTCCCTACTTTCCCAGCCTTGATCCTATGGTCTTTCTTCTAAAAACAACTTTAACATCATGGCCCCGCACAACATTATTTTGTATGGCTAAGTGATCATAATTTCTAATTTTACTCACATTTTATTTCTAAAGAATAAAACTAAGCTTTCAGAAATAGCTGATAAACCAATAACCCCCCACTTCAAACTAAATACAAATTTACTATTACTTTTCAAAGGAGATTATTAGTATGGATTTTTGTATAAACTTACATCTGGAAGAGATGGAAGATTGTAAGAACCTCCCACTGGTGCACTCAGATCAATCATGGGTGAACTAAAAGCTTTCCCATCATACCCTGCTGCACTTGTGATTGTGGGACTGGAAGGAGTGGAGGATGAGCTGCTGGCAGTTGTGGGCGTGGCCTGTCCACTGCTGATCTGCCACTGGAGTACCAAGATGAGGAGAGAGAAAACAGAGAGGAGACATTATTATGTGTGTGCATGGGGATGTGTCAATCATATAAAAAAATAACAAATAAGCCTTTTTTCTAGCACATACCAGAAAACCATTTCACATCCTTGCAAAATATATTTACATATATATGAAATGGACAAGAAATACAAGGATACAAAAAGCCACTTGAATTCAAGGTAAAGCAGGAGAATTAAAAACGTACATTTTCTTTTGTCCCAAGCTGGAATGCCAGAATTAATTAGCAATAACTTAAGGCTGTAAGGTTTTACTCTTCTTTCTTATTTTTCATATATGAAAAAGTAAGTAAGCCTTGAGAAAAGCCTTCTCATTCATATTAGAAGCTAAGATAAACACAAAGATAATGCTAGGCATGCTGAAGGATACAAAATTGAATCATGCTGTTTGGTTGCTTCAAAACCTACATAAAGTATGGTAAAAATGGATAGTTAGATAAAAAGGCATGTGGTTAATAAGTATTAAGGCAGGGGAAACAAATTGTTCACTAATTTATTTCAATACTTGATATACTTGAAAAACAAAAATTTCAGAATAAATATGGGGGCTGGAGGAGAACTGAAAGGTATCCCAAGGTCATTCAGCAGAAAACTATCCAAACACATTATCATTATATTTGGATGACACTGTAGAGTGATTTTCTGAAGAATCTTATATATGTAACTGTAAAAACTACATACAGAAACATATGAAGTTGGGTGTGAATGTCATCTTCAGGACATTCACACTCAACACCTTTATCTTTTTTTTTTTTTTTTAAAGGTTTTTGTTTTGTTTTGTTTTGTTTTTTTAAGGTGAAACACCTTTATCTTATTCCTGTATTTTTTCCTCCTCCCCTTCAGAGAATAAGGAGTCAGAGTTGGTAAGTACCTACCTGGGGTTTTTCCCTTTGTATAAGATAAAACACACACAAGTGACATATATCTCACAAAAATTAGGTAACATGGTAATTTCTTAGTGGCTAAAAAGTGTATCTATTACATGAGAATGTAATAATTTGGTAAACTTATTCATTAAAACTAATTTCTGGGGCCAATGGGATGGTTCAGTGTATAAAAGTACTTGTTTCCAAGCCTGACCACCTGATCCTCAAAACCCATATGGTGGAAAGATAAGATACCACAAGCTGACCTCTAACAGCAATTGTGCAGAGAACATTGTCCACCCCTACATCTTTGACAGTCACCCAATAAAGAAACATTTCTAAAAAGTACATAACATTTGTAAATCTATTCTACACAGAAGTTTAAAAAATAGTCATATTTCTCACAATATTTCTCCTGGTTTATTTGCTCATTTATTCATTATATTTAGATTTCTGTCCAATAAAAATTCAAGAAAAAAATTTAAGAGTATTTACCAAAGCATGCACACAATAGACTTCCTAGTACTATCCTGTTTTGCGAACTCTGTTCCCATAAAACTGTTTATCCCCCGGATAGAAATGCTTCCACCTGCCCAAGGAATGCCATGGGCAAGATGTTTTCTATTCCCTTAGAAATGCAGCTTAGCAAACAGCCCCAATTGGCCTCAAGACAGTCTGTCTTGTGAGCACATCTGTTGATAGTGATGAGAAATGAAGTCTATATCCTGAACCATTCAAATAAAAGTTCCACTGAATGCCAGCAGGGGCACTCTTGTGGAGCTTAGCCTTGAGTCCCTGGTTCTGCCATTCTTGAGTTCAACTTCATGTCACTGGCAGAAGGCAATAAATAATCTAGTCATTAAAATCTAATAAATGGGGAAGAAGAGAAGCTGAATGCTTGAAAGATGCCAGGTGTTTTTATATACATTAGGATAGCTCTCATCACAACCCTGCAAGGTACTCAGAGTGAGATCTAAAAATAATGTACTTGGAGAGATCATAAATTAGGAAAATAAGCAGAATTTGATGCCAAGTAACAATTTAAATCTTAAATTATCTACACCCTAAATTATTTATTTATTTATTTATTCTTATTTGTTTGTTTGTTTATTTATTTATTTATTTATTTATTTGAGACAGGATTTCTCTGTGTAGCCTTGGCTCTCCTGGACTCGCTTTGTGGACCAGACTGGCCTCAAACTCCCAGAGATCTGCCTGCCTCTGTCTCCCCAAGTGTTGGGATTATAGGTGTGGCCCAATGTGCCCAGCTCAGGTTTGAGTTTGTAAATAAAACCTGGGGATGTTAAATCAAACTCTGATTATATATAAAGTATGGAAGGACCCCTTGATTAAAAAGCACTGAGATGTTATTTCTTACTGCTGATCTTTTTCTTACCATAGATCTGTTTTCTAAGTACACTCTGTAATTTCTGGTCATTTTTAAAAAGCAAGCAAGCAACTTTCATCACCTATTGTTTACCTTTAAGTTTGTATGATCTAGAAGTACAGACCAGCATAAGTATAGAACCAACCAACTAGAGAGAAAGGTAATACACACCTGCTTTATGGCCTGTTGAGCCAAAAAAGCCATCTGCAGGGGGTTGGGTTTTATTGTCTGTCGTGGTATATTCTGGCTTGGTGGATATCTCAGCTGTTGAGCATAAGGAGGAAGAACTGGTCCATTGGGTTTAGGGCTGTGATTCTGAAAGTTTATTAAACGTGGTGGTGGATGCTAGGAAAAATTAAGAAAAAGAAATAAAAGTACTATAGTAACAATAGCCTCCTAAAGAGGCCCAGATCTTTGCCATATAAAATCCTCTATGATAGCAGCTCTGCCATAGAAGCCTCACTAAGACCATAAGAAACACCGAACGGGTGGTGGTGGTGGTAGCGTTAGTAGTCTTTTTTAAAAGGGGGAAGAGTGATTGGGAAAAGGAAGGAAAGGAAAAAAAAAAAGGAAAATTATTCCCCTACTCCAAATTAATAGCTTCATTTCCCCCCTTTCTCCCTCAGTTAAGAATATATTAAACAACCACTGAAAAACAGATTTGTATACTATTTCTGGACCAACTGAAATTCCAAGGTAAAGAGCAGAAATAACGTTAGTGAAAAACTACATAGAGGAACAAGCCAGAAGCCCTAACATAAAACTTGTGACATGAGAATTTTATACCACAAGAACACAAAGAGAAAATCCTGAGGAATTACAGTAGAGATTTTCTAAATCTATTTAAAGAAAAACAAATGATTTTTAAGGAGAATAGACATTTTCTGTCACCATAGTCTCATCCTCTCAATAACTGCTCAATACAATGATTCAACCAAAGGGGGAGGGATAAGACACTTGATGCCAGACCACTAGGACTAAATGCTCACCCTGCCTACCATTGAGAAGCTTACGGCTGAGCATGGTGTAAGGTGGTATTCTCCCTATTCCCTGAACTGCTACAGTTAGATTAATTTATGAGACTTTTGTCAAACCCAAGACTATTAAAAACCAGATACGGTCTTAAACAGAAAAACTAGTGATAATCTTGTGAAAAAAAAAATCATTCAAGAATTACAAGATGAAAATAAATCAAATGAGGAAAACAACAGAGCATGGTGAAATTGCAGGCATGGGCACAGTGAGAACTAAGGCCATAAATCATGTATAGTGACGGTATGCCAGTGTTCTCAAATGAGCAGATATATCCACACAGTGTAATAGCATAGACTGTGAGCACTAAATCAACAGTCTATCAAGTCGGCTCCACTTACTTTGCCACATAATGAACTATTCTACTTTTGCTGCCATCTAGCACTTTAAGAACACCAGTGACATGGTTAATCTTCAGAGGAAGAATGATGGAACTATCATGTAAGTGACTTTTATAAGCACAATGCTTTCAATCTACCTGTCCATAAAGGCAAATGCAGAGCACGGTTTGCACACACTACATAACCAGAAGCTCAGAGATCCACCTGCTTTTACACAGGCAGTGCACAACATGTACGTGTACACAAACCGGCAGAAGATGAAAAAACTCAAAATACAGGAGGAGGATAAACCAGTAGCCGAAAAATAAAAATGTGGAAATGAGTACTTAGCAGAAAAGATATAAAGAGAAGGAAAAGAACTAGAGGTCAGAGAAGACTAAAAATAATACATAAGGAAAGTTGTGAAAAGTACTTCTAAGTTACAAATTTAAGCTGAATAGTAGAGACTTTATAGAAATTATAGCACTAAATGCTACAGACTGAAAAATCAAAAACCAACTTCTGGGAAAAGTAGGCTGAAGGCTTGGATGCTATTTCTGTTGTTATTGCTTATGTGTATAAGCAATTTCCTTAAATAGCTATTGATTAACTGCCTCAATTACCTCTTGATAGATAGGGAATTAATTAAGATGATGGATTTACTCCTTTCCTCGTTAAAACTAGTGGAAGAACACATACTTGAGTATGTTCAGGGGCTAGGTGATGTGGCCCAGCACCACAAATGGGCAAATAACAACACAGGCATGTATGGCTAGAACTCTCAACCAGTACTAAAGAATTTTTTGAAACTAGTTCGACATTTTATTAAATTGCTACTAAAAAGGCTATGCCATTTAGATTTCTTTCCATAAAGAATCAGCACATCATATATCCTAGTGTTGGTAAAACAGTAGTAAAATAAAGCTTTTCCTCCTAATTAAACAAACATTTCCTTTTTATCAGTTATTCATATCTGTACCAGTTGCTTCCTTTTTACTTTTGTTGCCAAAACAGTTTGAACTAAGCTTTGCTTTTGAATGTAATGAGAATTTTTAGCATAGTTTTGTCCAATGTGTTTGACTTTTGTGAAACTCCAGTTCAGTTGTGTCATTTACCAAAATCATTACAAACCCTCTATCCAAACAAGGAGAAGATAAAATTAGCCACAAATTGTAAATCATAATTCTATGGAAGAGTTTGATGAAATGTTTTATCAAGCCTTTATTCATTTATGTAGGTCCATGTCTAACCTGAGTAAGACTGGTTAAGCTATTTGATAAAAGTACACAGAACTAAAACTAGACTGGAGGGACTGGAGAGCTGGCTCAGTGAATAAGGCACATACTGAGCAAATATGGAGACTTCAGATCATCAGCACCCACATCTCAGCACGCAGAAGGCAGAGATAGATGAGCTCCAAGGTAAGCTGGCTAGCTAGACTAGCTGAATCAGTGAGCTCCGTGGGCTGAGCAAGAGACAGTGCCTCAGTAAATGAAATCAATAGCAAGCAATAAGGGAAGACACTGATGTCAACCTCTGGCCTCCACATGATATGTGCATGCTTACTCATGACAACATGCACAATACTTTGTTAACCATACAATGCAAACACGTGTCAAAAAATAAAAGGACTGAAAAATGACAGAATACTGCACACCCAGTAAGACTAGGAATAGTATATGGATTTACTCAGGAAAAATGAAACAGGCTGAAAAGACAGGATTCTAATGAGCTGCAGACCAAACCATACTATTGTCCTACTTTCTAGAATGCAGTGTGGTTTTCTAAATACTGTCTCAAAGAAATCCTTAAAGTATTGATCAATTTGATGCACTCATATAGGAATTAGAGGTTCACAACACTTTATACCCAACACAGGCGTAATAGATATAGTAAGCAAATACATCATTAAGTCATTCTGGAGTTGAGCTAAAAATTAGGTGTTAGATCAAGGAACCTTTAATATCTAAATGAAGGGCAGTGTGTGTGGGGTATTGGTTACTGTAAGGAGCTCAACACAATTACACTACAGTTATCTAAGTTAGGACAGGCCTGCTTCCAAATTTACCTGATGAGAGATGGAAGGCTGCTGGATGGGCCCCTGCATTCTAGGGTTTGGTAAACCCACAGGTGCTGGCCTCCGTTGCACCTGTTGCCTCTGAGCCATTACCTGTTGCTGCATATGCTGGAGTCGTAACTGAGCTAGGCTGATCTGTGTTGGGAACTTGGATAACTGGTTGGAAGCCAAACCAGGTGGCTGTGAACTCTGTTCCACGACAGGATTCTGCTTGGGTATTTGTGGCTGGCTCTCTTTATCCTCGATTACTAAAGAACCTAATTAAAGAGAAAGAGAACAAGATAAAAATGTTGGATAATCAGTGAAACACCACATTTTATACGGCTACCAAGTTGGACTTTAACTGCTAGAGAATTCTGGACAAAGGACTCCTCTAAACTATTAAAAACTATAAACTATTAAAAATTATAAACTATAAACAATGTCTAGGGACCTTTTGATGTTTTGTGTCTAAAAATGGAGGATCCCAATGAGGTTTTAATTTATATTCTATAAAAACTTACCATATAACGTTTTTAATAATACTAATTCATTTAAAAAAAATAAAACTTTCAAGAACAGCCATCTCCCAGCCCATGCTTTGTATTTCTCAAGCTGTTTCTTTTAGTACATGTTGGGGTGACTTTCCTTCACATTGTGTGAAGGAGGTGTGTCTCTATATTATTAATTACTGATAGCCGTATAGTCAGGGAGCTAAGTGATAGCAGGATCTTGGTATTGGGACAGGAAGTTGGGGACAGAATTTCAGAGTGAGAGGGAGAACCAGAGGGAGAGGGAGGTATGGGTAATAGGGTGGGAGGGAGAATGGCAGGGGAGGATGGACACTAGGAGAAGAAAGCAGAAGCAGGACATTTGAGGGCAGACATGGAGGGGAACAGACATCGACCAGAGCAGAGCAGAAGGTAGTCACATGGCGGGTCACAGGCAAGAATAGCTGGATCAGTCTAGATGGTAGCTGGGAATCTGTGCCGCCAAAGGCCTAAGCTTTAAACTTATGAAACAGCCTCCATGGCATTATTTACTACTGATGGGTCTAACAAAGTCCTGCTATAAGTAGGGTGGATCAAACTGATTCCAGTTGCTGCCTCTATATTGATAAGTAAATGGTTATGTATATGCCTCAAATTGACCTGCTGGGGTATCTATCACCTAGACTCCCATGACTCTTTTTTTGTTTTTCCTTTGTATGGCTGACATTTGTTTAAGGGTATTTTTTCCTTTCCATTGTATGATGTCATGAAAACAGCAGCTCCTTCTCCAGGTGTTTTTCCTTTTTCACATATAATCTACTCTTGGAGGTGACAGAATAATCAGGAACCCAAGATGTCATTGTCATCCAAGGAAAAGCTTGTTGTTGAGAAACAATATCTAGGGACCTTTTGATGTTTTGTGTCTATTATTTTCCTGTGAGAAAGTGAAGAGCTAAAAGAATATTTTCCTTCACTTACCAGTGCAACAAGAAAGCTAAGTATTAACTTTTTACTGCGCTGCTTACAAAGATTATGTACTTCCTAATGTTACCAAGATACTACCCTCTGAGTCAATTAGCTCCAATATTTACGATCGTGTCATTCTCTGTATGTTGTCTTTCCACTACTTACAAACACACTCCCTCTTCCTCCACTCACACAATTTGTAACTTGACAGGTAAGGAAAAGATCTAAAACACAAAACAAATAGAGAGGGTAATGGATGAAAGGGAGGAAAAAGAAAAGGCCTCTGTTTATAAGACACTGTAATTTAGCCATAGGGGCTTGAGCAATGGTTTTAAACTTAAAAAACTTCCATCTAGCCATCTGATATGCTGACACAGCACTATCACCTATAAGCTCTTGCTTGCAAAGTAAGAAACAGATGACAAAAACAAGACTGGAAAAAAGAAATTGCATAGTAACTTTAGGATTTTGTGCTGGGTCAGTTGGCTACATAGTTAGCTTAGGCTGGACTGAACCACAAGAGATCTTGTCTCACCCCACTCCACCCCTAGTACAAAGATGGTAACCTGGGGCTAGAGAAATAGCTGAGTATTTAAGGGCACCTGCAGCTCTTCTGGAAGACCCAAGTTCAGTTTCCAGCACCCACGTTAAGGCAGGTCACAAGTACCCTGTAAGTCTAGCTCTAGTGATCAAATGGCCTCCTCTGGGCTCCACAGGCACCTGTATGACGATGCACATACAAACACAGAGGCTCAAAGGCTCCTCAATAGCAGCACAGGAAGTATTTCTTCAGAAGCCATCCTAAATATCAAAAGCCAACTGACATGGGCGATGTTGGTCAATGGTAATACACACACACACACACACACACACACACACACACACACACACACACGTCCCACCCTAGATATCAAAGCCCAGCATCACATACAGTCACAGAAAACACATTCTGATACAGACAGAGGTAATAATACAAACAGAATTCTTAGGGCTGTAGAGATGGCTCAGTGGTTAAAAGCACTGACTGCTCTTCCATTCACAGCACTCAACGGCAGCTTACAACCTTCTGTAATTCCAATTCCAAGAGGAACTGGTGGCCTCTCTGGCCTCTGCAGGCATTGCACACATGTGGTGAGCAAACACACATTCAGGCAAAACTCCCATACACATTTATTTAAACAAAGTAACAAACAGGATTCTATAGGGAGAGGGAAGGCTCTTAATCCCTAACTTAAGTATCCTAATATTTTCATATTATCTCCAAACAAGTATGTAAATATTCATGCATCTGTGTTACCATATTCATATATTAATGACATACTGGAAAAGTCTAACTGTAAAACAAGATAGTGAATGGGAATGTTATATTGAGTAACATGTCATGAGTAGTGAGAGCTCTACAGCAAAATAGACCTGTAGAAAAAAATGTACATAATGCCTACCCAAGTTGATAATATTTTGGGCCCAGAAACTAGGATCACAGTGAAACTGGATGGTGTTGTTGGTCACAGGAGAGGCATCACACCTTGCACGAAGAAGGTGCCGTAACCGGTATGTAATCTAGAAGAAAGTAGGGAAAAAAAACAACATTAGTGTATTTCTAAGGCAAATAATGTGTTACACAAATAATGTTTTACACAGTTTCTGGTATGTATGCAAACAATTATACTTGTGTTATAAAAATGGTTATATAAGTCAGGCATGATGGTGTACACTTTTAATTCTAGCACTCCTGAAGGGTAGGAAACTATGCAGGCTTGGAGGTTTAGGATGGAGTAACTATTGCCTAGCATTGTGCTCTCGGTTAACTAAATATATCCTAGTCTCTGTGTGGCAATTTGGGAATACAGCTGGTTTAGGAATAACCAGTTTAACTAAAAGATAAATTAATAATCAACAACAAATGGCATACCAATGTGTGGCAGAATTTACGTAATCTATCAAGAACTTACATTAAAAAAAAAAAAAAAGAAAACAACCAAAAAAACATAGAGCAGTTTTTTAGTTCTGTTCCTTAAAAACAGAATTCGCAGTTCCTAAACTAGGAGCTCGCAGATTCCTGATTAGACAACTCCCCCTCCCTGCAGAGCAGCAAAACCTCCAGCAGGCTGCAGAAAAACAAAAATTGATACATATGAACCCCAGAGAAGAAATTTCTTTTAGGTAGAGAAAAAAAAAAAAAAAAGTGGCTCTATAACAAGGAAGGTTCTCAAAGCCAGACTTTGCTAGTCAAGGCAGAAAAGTAAAATCCCTTTGAGAAGTGGTTCTTGCCAGTCTGAGGAGCAAACATTTATGGACCCAGTAACTTCCCAGAGTGAGGAGGAGTCAGGGAGGCAGAAAAAATACCTCTCCCTGGAAACAGGATCCAGAGACAGAAAAGCGTCAAGCATCTGAACTGGTAAGGTCTAGAAGAAAAGCTGAGAGTCTGCTTAAACTGCTTTCTCAGGACCAAAGCTTACATAAAGGAAAAAGGCCAGTTTAACAGATCCAAACTACGTGCTCTTCCAAGTCACACAGGCACCCAGCCTACTGGGGGAGGAGTAGGGATCTGGTAAAATAATTCTAAGTTACAGGTGGGAGGGAAAACCACACCTCTTCTGTGAGTTGATAAACAGGAGTGTTGTGAGACACAGTACAGCACAAAAGAACACAGACCGGGAACAGAACTTATCATCAGGTAAATTGTTTAATAATCAAACTTTTACGCTATATACATATTTTAAGTAAACCAAGTGGATAAGATGAGAGAGACAATAAAACAGACTTCTTGGAGCTTGGCTGATAATCTCTTCTATGGTTTTAAGACCAAAATAAAAGGAAAATTTATAAATTGTGACTACGGTTATATTTATCGTCCTCAGTTTAATTTTAATAATTGGATTAGTCTTGTATGTCTTCTCAAAGGTGAAGGCTTTAGAAAAGATAATGGAACAACAAGGAATAAGTGAACAATATAAAGAAAAAATGAAGGTTGGAAACAGGACAAAACAAGAGGTACAAAAACTTAAGAGAACAGGATAAACAACAGGAAAATAGGGCAGAAGTTTTAGAAAAGATACTGGAAGAACTAGAACAATATAAGGAAAAAAGTTAAAATTTGGGACGAGGCATAAAACAAGAGATTCAAGAGATTATTGAACAAAACAACAGAGAGTTTAGAATACTAAGTAAAGAAAATACTCAGGCAGAGGCAAAAGATAAAAATAAAGAAAGCCAACCAAAGGTAGTTAGAAAACAAATGTTAGCTTATCTAGTCAGTAAACCAGCAGAGATCAGTAGATGATGATCATTTACAGGATTCACAAAGCTGAATGGCACCCTGTGGAAGTGCTAGATCTGAGGAAATTTAAGGAAAGTGTCACTAATTTTGGAATGCATTCACCATTTGTAAAACAAATGTTGACTATCTGGCCAATCAGAAGTAAAGTAATCCCATAAGACTGGAAGGAAATGACAAAGCAATATTAGAATCTGGGCCATATTTACAATGGCTTTCATGGTGGAGAGAAGAGGCTAGAGAGATAGCACACAAAAATAGAGCCAGAGGTGTTGGTGTTTCTAAGGAATAGCTGCTTGGTGATGTCTAACATTCTGACACAGAGATACAAGCTGTATATAATGAGGAAACCTTAGCATTATGTTGCCTAGCAGCCTTAAATGTCTGGGACAGGGTTGAGGAATCAGGAAATAGGCTTGAGCCATTCTCTCAGGTCATAAAAGGTCCAAGTGAAACATTCACTAACTTTTTGCAAAGATTGACCTGATTGAAGTATATCAGATCCACTAGCTAGAAAGGCACTAATAGAATCTTTAGTTTTCTAAAATGCTAATACTGAATGCAAAGAGGCAATAAGACCATTAAGAGCAAGATCTGCATCAACAGACAAATGGGTCAGAAATACGACTGATATCACACCTTACTCACCCAGTATGACCTTGATAGGAGAAGCTACCTCTTAAGACCTTGGGAAATGTCTTAATTGCAATGTGCAAGGTTACTACAAAGGGAGTTAAAAGGAAAACAAATAATTCAAAAAGGGAGCCTATGTTTTCTAGAATATGCAGAAGATGTGGTAAGGGTCAACACTGGCCTAGTGAATGTAGAACAGTAACAGATAATGGGGTAATCGTCTATCAAAAAATGCCCAAAGGGGGCCTCTTGGAGGCCCCAATATAGGATAGGGATACTCCTCCACAAGAAAATTAAATATCACTGCTCTGGGAATAAACATTAAAAAATCAGACAGTGAGACTAGAGCAAGTTCTATAGATAAATCATAAACCCAGGAAGGGGGAAAGAAAAACACAAATATATTGGCAAACTTCTATAAATGATCAAAGGCCAAAGTTAAAGATAATTTTAAATACTACTGAAATTGAAACCATGGTGGATATTAAATCCTGGCCTCCATATTGGCCACTTCAAGAGGTGGATATCCAATTCGAAGGAGTTGGAACTTTATTTAAAGTAAAACAAAGTGTCAGGTGGCTTAAATATACAGGACCAGAAGGTCAAATAGGAAAATTAAGGCCATACGTGGCTGAGATAGCCATAAACTTATGGGGAAGAGATCTGTTACAACAATGGAAGACCCAGATTAACATCCCCCCAAGTTTTGAGACAAGCCAAGAAACAGGTAATACTCCTGATAAAGAAGTTAAAAATTATTAAAAAATTCCATCAAAAACAGTTTCAGACTGTCCAGGCTGTCCATAAACAAAATACAGCAGAGGCCATCTTTTCAACTTCATGTTGGGAAGCCACTGCTGATAAAACCCCCACAGCCTTACCACTAAGATGGTTGGCTGACCAACCCATTTGGATTGAACAACAGTCTATGAGTAAAGAAAAATTACTGGCACTACAACAGCTAGTCCTGGAACAGCTGGAGGCTCAACATTTAGAGGAGTCCAACAGCCCTTGGAATTCCCTGTATTTGTCATCAAAAAGAAATCTGGCAAATGGAGGATGTTGATAGATCTAAGAGCAATTAACAAAATTATTCAGCCAATGGGATCATGACAATCCGGAATCCCATTGCCTTCCTTGTTACCTAAAGAATAGCCTATTACAGTGATTGATTTAAAGGATTGCTTTTTCACAATTCCTTTACATGAACATGATAGGGAAAGGTTTGCTTTCTCAGCACCCACTTTGAATAAAAGCTGTCCGATAAAGAGATATCACTGGAGGGTCTTACCACAGGGGATGTTAAACAGTCCTATTTGTGCTATTATTTTGTACAACAGCCCGTTGGAGACAATTTGTAAGCAATTTCCTCAATTCATAATTTACCACTATATGGATGATATCTTCTTGGCTGACTCAGATATGAAAACATTAGAAAAAAAATTGATGAAATAAATAATAGAACTTTGCCTTGTTGGGGATTAGAGATTGCTCCCCCCCCAAAAAAAAAATACAAAGAGGAGATTCTATTAATTACCTAGGATATAAAATAGCTCTACGGAAAATTCCACCACAAAAGGTACATATTAGAAGAAACCAATTAAGAACTCTCAATGATTTCCAAAAATTGCTGGGAGATATTAACTGGCTACAGCCTACCATTGGTTTAGCTTACCATAAGAGCTAAGTAACTTATTTCAAACCTTACAGGGTGATAAGGACTTAAATAGTATAAGAATGTAATCAACTGATGCTGAAAAGGACATTGGCTCTGGTAGGAAGGAAATTACAAGATGCATGTATAGACTATATCAATCCAAAGAGGGCCTGCATTTTGGTTATCTTGCCTTCCACTCATTCTCCCATAGGAATTCTTATGCAGAGGGAGGATGGACATTTCTGGCACACAAAATAAAAAATTAAAAACCTATACAGAAAAGGTTTCTTTCTGAATTGATCCTAAAAGGAAAAACGAGACTTCATCAACTGCTGGAATAGATCCAGCTGAAGTTATGGTGCCCTTTACCAATGCCGAGATTGCATTATTATGGATAGTCAATGAATACTGGCAAAGAGCTTGCTATGAATTTTTGGGAAAAATCAACAGATACCCAAAAAGCAAGCAACTTCAGTTTATTAAAAGAACAAATTGGATTCTTCCTTGTATAATAAAAGGAACTCCAATTTCTGGAGCTCCCATATTTTACATGGATGCCAATAAATCAAAAAGGGCAGGTTATAAGTCAGAAAATGTGAGTAAAGTGGCGGAGAGTCCTTATGATTCAGTTCAAAAATCAGAATTACATACAATTCTCTTGGTGTTATTAAATTTTCAGCAATTTCTTAGTATAGTCATTGACTCTCAATATGCAGAAAGAGTTGTTCTGCATATAGAAATTGCTGATCTAGTTCAGAATTAACTTCACTGTTTCTTCAATTACAACAAGTAATCAGAAATAGAAATAATCCACTGCATGTAACACGTATCAGATCTCATACGGTTCTACCTGGCCCTCTAGCACAAGGCAATGGTGAAATTGATCACCTATTGATAGGAAGTGTGTTAAAGGCCTCAGAATTTCATAAAAAATAGCATGTTATCAGCAAAGGTTTAAAAAGAGTTTTCTGTCATTTGGCAACAGGCCAAAGA